GTCTTTTATTATATAGGACTAGTTTCAGGTGTTCATCGTAGTGATTAGATAATCATATACTGTACATACTGTTCAACCAGATATTTCCAATACCAACCTACATAGATATTACAATATATTTGACTATATCACACTGACTATATTGTAACTACAAATTTGTTCTTAATCCATTCACTTTTTTCATCCAGTCTCCAACCCCCCTCCACTCTGGCAACCAGCAGTCTGTTCTCTGTATCTATGAGCACGTTTCTGTTCTGTTTGTTTGTATCTATTCTTCTTTAGATTCCATATATAAACTAAATCAGATGTGATGTTTGTCTTCCTGTGATGCACTTATTTCATTTAGTATAATAATCTCTAGGTCCACTCATGCTGTCACAAATGGTAAAATTTCCTTATTTTCTATGGCCGAGTAATATTCCATTGTATATGTGTACCACTGCTTTATCCACTTGTCTATTGATGGGCATTTCAGTTGCTTCCATATTTTGGCTACTGTAAATAACACTGCAATGAACATGAGGGTGCATATATTCTTTCCGATTAGTGTTTTGGATTTCTTCAGATATATACCCAGAAGTAGGATTGCTGGGTCACAGGGAATTCCATTTTTAATTTTTGGAAGAAACACATGTTATTTTCTGTACTGGCTGCACCAGTCTGCACTCACAGCAACAGTGCATGAGGGTTCCCTTTTCTTTACATCATCACCAACACTTGTTGTGTATTGATTTATTGATGACTAGAGGCTCGATGCATGAATTCGTGCATGGCCGGGAAGTAGGCCGGCTAGCCCTACCCCTGGTCGAACTGCTGGTCCAGGGGACAATTTGCATATTACCCTTTTATTATATAAGATTGCCATTCTTACAGGTATGAGATGGTATCTCATTGTGGTTTTAATTTGCATTTTGCTGACAATTAGTGACACTGAATATCTTTTCATATGTGTATTGGCCATCTGTATGTCCTCTTGAGAAAAATGTCTATTCACGTTCTCTGCCCATTGTTTTATTGAACTGTTTGGTACTTTGGTGTTGAATTGTATGAGTTCTTAGTAAATTTTGGATATTAATCCCTTATCAGTTGAATCATTGCGAATATCTTCTCCCAATCTGTAGGTTGTCTTTTTGTTTCCCTGAGATTTACTTTGCTGTGTAAAAACTTTTTGGTTTAATGTAGTCCTATTTATTTATTTATTTATTTATTTATTTATTTTGGGGGGTTCCCTTGCTCAAGGAGATAGGTCATAAAAAAATATGTCTAAGAGAAATGTTAGAGGTGTTATTGCCTATGCTTTTTTCTAGGACTCTTATGGTTTTGAGTCATATTTATGTTTTTAATCCATTTTGAGTTTATTTTTGTATATGGTATAAGAAGGTGGTCTAGTTTATTTTTTTGCTTGTATCTGTCCAATTTTACCAGCATCATTTATTGAATAAACTGTCTTTACCCCATTGTATGTTCTTATTTCCTTTGTCAAATATTAAATTATCATATAGGTGTGGGTTTACTTCTGGGTTCTCTATTCTTTTCCATTGACACATATGTCTATTTTTATGCCAGTTCCATGTTGTTTTGATTACTATAGCCTTGTAATATAGTTTGATATCAGGTAGGGTGATACCTCCAATTTTGTTCTTCTTTCTTTTTTTTTTTTTTTTTTTTTTTAAAGAAAGGTATTTTTATTGATTTCAGAGAAGAAGGGAGAGGGAAAGAGGGATAGAAACATCAATGATGAGAGAGAATCACTGATCAGCTGCCTCCTGCATGCCTCCCACTGGGGATCAAGCCCACAACTCAAGCATGTGCCATGAATGGGACTCAAACAGTGACCTCCTGGCTCATAGGTTGATGCTCAACCACTGCGCCACACCTGTCAGGCTGGTGGTCTTTCTGAAGATTGCTATCTATTTGCGGTCTTTAGTGGTTCCATATAAATATTTAAATTATTTGTTCTAATTCTGTGAAAAATCTCAGATATTTTTATACAAATTGTGTGAACCTATATAATACATTGCTTTGGGTAGTATGGGAATTTTAATTAAGTTAATTATTTCTATCCATGAGGATAATCTATACTGCCATTTACTTATATCTGCTTCAATATCTTACTTGGTATCTTACTTCCCTGGCACTATATTTTATGGAAGCAACTTAAGTGGGATTGTTTTCTTAGTTTCCCTTTTTTTATAGTTCATTATTGGTGTACAAAAACGCAACTGATTTTTAAATCTTTATTTTGTATCCTGCTACTTTACTTGATTCATTTATTAGCTCTTATAGTTTTTTGATGATAGAATCTTTATGGTTTTCTTTATATAGTACCATTATCTGCAAATAGTAAGTTTTACTTCTTCCTTTTCAATGTGGATGCCTTTTACTTCTTCTTCTCTGATTGTTCTAGTCAGCACTTCCAGCACTATGTTGAATAGGAGTGGTGAGAGAGGACATCCCTGTCTTGTTCCCTATCTCAAGGGAAATTATTTTAAGTTTGTTTTAAAGTATATTTTGTCTGTTGTAAGCATTGTTACCCAGCTTTTTTCTTTTGTTTCCATTTGTATGAAATATCTGTTTCCATTCCTTTACTTTTAGTCTGTTATCTTTTATTCTGAATTGGATATCTTGCAGACAGTGTGTGTATATTCTTATATATATATATATATATATCTTATATTCTTATTCAGTTACTGTATGTTTTTTGATTGGAATATTTAATAATCTATTTACATTGAAAATAATTATTGACAGGTATGCACATAGTGTTATTTTATTCTATTTTAAAAATATTTTTATTGATTTCAGAGAGGAAAGGAGAGGGAGAGCTAGAAACATCAATGATGAGAGAATTATTGTCTGCTTCTTGCATGCTCCTTACTGGGCATCAAACCATGACTGGGAATCAAACCATGACTCCTGGTTCATAGGTTAATGCTCAACCACTGAGCCACAATGGCCAGGCCTTTATAGTTATGTTTTGTGTTTTTTTTTATTCCCTTCTTATTTTTAAGAAGTCCCTTTAACATTTCTTATAATACTGGTTTGGAGATAATGAATTCCTTTAGCTATTTCTTGTCTGGGAAGCTCTTTTTTCCTTTCCATTTTAAATGATAGCTTTGCTGTGTAAACTAGTCTCGGTTGTTGGTCCTTGCTTTATATCACTCTGAATATTTCATGCCAATCCCTTCGGGCCTGAAATGTTTCTGTTGAGAAAAAGCTGATAAGTCTTATGGGAGCTCTTTTTTAAATAACAGTCTTTCACTTGATGCTTTTAAGATGCTTTGTCTTTAACTTGCCATTTTAATTATGATGTGTCTTGGTGTGGGCCACTTTGGGTTCACTTTGTTTGGAACTCTGTGCTTCCTGGACTTAAGTGTCTTTTTCTTTAAAAACATCAATCAATTGCCTCCCACACCTGGCCTAACCAGGGATTGAACCTGCAACCAAGCTATGTGCTCTGACTGGGAATTTACCAGCAAACTCCTCATGTTAAATGAGATTTAATATAATTCTTAAAGTAATTAAGAAAAGCATAAAACTTATGAGTACCTGAATATAGTTTCCAACACCTAGAAAACTGGGAAATTTATTTTCTTTTACCTATAACATACATACTGCATTTCCTTTTATATTTACACAGCATTAAAGGTAGTTCCTCACCAACTCATCCTATGTAACAAGAGTAATATGTAATATGTAAAGCAGCCATCACTCCGTGACAAAATGGTGGTGCGTTTAGCAGATGCTGGCAGCATCGCCCTGGCAACAGGAGCCCAGCATCTGCTCCTTGGCCGCAGAGGGAGGGGAGGGGCCTCTAGCCAGAGGACTGGGAGCGTCTGTGCCAAGGCTGTGCGGCAGAAGGAAAGGGACCTCTGGGGCTGCGAGCCTTGAGTCTGTACACCCAGAGTCCACACCCCGGCCTGCCTTGTGGCGGAAGGGAAGGAGCCTGTAGGGCCCCAAGCTCAGGGTCCCCATGGCAGGGGAAGAATCAGAAAAATGGATCTTTCCAGTTCCTGATGCTGACGGAGCCCTAGGGGAGCCGGGATCCTCCACCTGCAGCCCCCAGTCACAGCCCAGCAGCCCCAGTCGCAGACTGGAAGCCCCCTGCCAGTAGTCCAGATGGGACCAGTGTGGCACTGCGGTGGATGGGGGGGGGGGGAGAGTTCCGGAAGGCACTCTACAGACATCAAATCACTGCCACCGAGGCTGACCCACTCACACACTTTCAAGTAGTGTGGTCCAAGGGGGCTGATGCTCATCATGCCAGGTGAGGAAGCTATACCTGAAGCCCAAGCCCCCGAGTACCAGGCCGCAGGGTGTCTTGGGCCGGAGGAGGCCCCAGGACAAGCACCTTCCCAGAGGCTCTGTGGGAGGGGAGGACCCTCTGGCTAGAGCCAGGATGAGTGATGCTGGCGTCTTTGCAGGCCAAGACCTGGCTGAGAGACACCACCCCCCCCGCCGCACCCGAGTGCATGAATTTCATGGACCGGGCCTCTAGTATATAATAACTCTTTAGACACTTAAAGGTAACTATTAATTTAGTCCTCAGCATTTCTCTTCATACTCAGCCATACTAAATTCCTTTACTATTTCCTGTCTGCTTTTAATCTTTTTTCATAGTCTCTAAACTTAGTACACACTTGCCAAATCTTCCAAATTGCACAATTCAGTATATCCTAAAAGCAGGTGCAATGTGAAAGAGACCAATTTGTGGGTTATGAAAAATATGCCCCCAAAGAGGATTATAAAAAGAAATCAATGATGTGAAGTATGAAGTGGGAACTACCAGAAGCTGCCAAATACTTAGGCGTGCAAGGCAGACACAACACACTGTGGGAAACGAGAGGAAATTGGTTGGCTTTCCTGTTTCTTTGCTTTATAACCCATCACCAATCTCCTCTCAGAGGGTCCAATAACCAGTTATCAGATTCCTCTCTACAAAAGTGGTTCTTATGCTGCCGTGAAGCCTGCCGCGGTGCCTTGAGCGGATGCGTTCTCACCTGAACGGCACTTCTTCCTGCGGAACAGCCACGTAGTAACGGATGAAAAACCGCTCCGAGTCTTCACGCTCGTCGTCGGTAACAACACTGCCGTTAAGTTTGGAAACTGATGGCAATCTGTCAGTAAAACCAAAATAAAGACATTTTCGGATATGAAAAACATTTAGCTTTGGAAACAGAATTATTGATTTGAGCCATTATTCTCTTGAAAGGAACTTTTGATGCAGCTGTGCTTGTGTACAACTACTGACATAAACTAAAAGGGCATAATATAAAAGAACCCAAAACATTTAAGCTTCCTTTTTGGATGAGACACTGCCCTTTTATAATCACAACTCATTCTTCAAAATAACATTGTCCAACTTGACAATGTTGCATTGTCCAACTTGAACACCATGCAAGCCACACATGTAATTTACAGTCTCTAACTGTAGTACATATTTGCCAAACCTTCCATCTCACAGAACTCAGTATGTCCTGAGAGCAGGTGCAATATGAAAGAAGATTTGGCAAATGTATCCTAGGTTTACCAGCCATATTTTAAAAAGTAAAAATAAAGCAGACGAAATTTGTTTTAATAATATATTGTATTTAACTCAATATATGCAGGATATAATCATTTCAACCTGTAATCAATACTAAAAAATAACTCATGAGATACTTTACATTCTCTTTGGCATATAAAGTATTTGAAATCCAATGAATATTTTACACATTTAGCACATATAGACTGGCCATATTTCAAGTGCTTAAAATAGTACCAAATTGTACACAGAAGTCTATAGAGTAGTCAATACCGTTTGGTCATATAATTCAGGAATTAGCTGATTATGTTTACAAAAGAGCTGTGTAAAAATATAGCCACAGCAAGACCTCCTCCTTTTGGGATTTCTTCAGAGCAGTGTCCGGGTATGTGTTGCCGAGAGCAGCAGGGAAGCCCTACTGGGTGTCAGCAGGGCAGAGTTTAAGTAGCCACTCTGCTTCCTGGGACCTTACAGCCTCCTGCCCTCCTTGGGAACTGCTGTGAGAGGGCACAGAGAGCACATCAGCGCTCCGTGCCTCACACCTCAGCTGAACTCTGCTGCTGCTGAGGCACATGCAGAAAGCATGGTCATCTCAGCAGTCTGTGGTTATCTGAGGCAGGAAAGATAGAAGATAACAAAATAGTAGCCAAATCTAAGTAAACCTCTATGATAATCGGAAAATACAGATGCTGCTCTCTTAAGTTTTACACTAATGCAACAGCCTGATTTTAGGTATTTACACCTTAAATGACTACTATGTTAACAGAGAAAATAAGGACAGCTGATTCTACCTACCTTTACTTCATGACCCAAGACAGAACTTCAAATATTATAAATATAAAAAAGTATAAAAATAGAATAGATTGGTGAGGAAATTTTGCAGTGGTCTTGGCAGGCCAATTACATTTCACATTTTTCTCATCATATTGCATTCCTTTCCTTTCAGGATTTCAAGCTACACAAGCAGCTCCTTCGAGCATAGTCTGTTCACGAGTTGGACCAACTTATAACGCACTCCCTCCTAAAGAGAGTCTCCTTCCTGCAATGAAATGACAGGGCCCGGGGGAGGGAGGCAGAGGAACTGGACAACAGACCTGGCTATGACCAACTTCCTGCGCTCCTCGGTGCTGTATGGCTGCAGAAGAGGAATGCCTAACAATCTCACTTCTTCAAGTTTAGGGAATGAATTTAGTTTGTCAATGTCTTCCCAGGACTGCAAACCTAATTTGAGAAACATATTTTTTAAATAAATCCAGAAAAGTACACAGATAAGAAGATAAACATAGAAAAAAAACTTCAGTTAATATGTGAAAAATTAAAATAATTGTAAACTAGATCTCCTGATTTATTTTTTTTATTTTTATTTTTTTATCCAAGGAAAGAATGGAATACATTTCACAGCATAAAGGCTTCCTGGTCTCTCCTATCCCTGTGATCCCAGTGGTCAAGGAGAGAGACCGTCACTCTCTGACATCCATTCATCTTCTAAGGGATCACCGTGATTTCAATAAGCAGGACGCATGCCATGGGTACAGAGAATGGTGACATGACCAACTCTCTCACCAAGTACAGACTCCGGGAACAGGACCATTTATGATCAGGCTTAAACCTTATACCTAATAAATTCTAAAATGGGGCAAGTTCAACAGATCCAGAAACTTAGGATTAACTCTCTTTTATACTGTCCTGATTTGGGGGACAAGGAAAACAAATTCAAAATTTAAAGGACACAAAAACAAACCTGCACCTTTGGGTAAGAACATGCAATAAATTAAGTTCATCTATTCCTAAAAGGAAATCTTTCCTATCGCTGTAAATACATCACCCAAATCAATGTGTGGCAGTGGTTGGAAAAATATTCCTGTAACAATGAAGCTGCCGATTTTACAGCATGTTGACTCCATGTTAGAGAACGTGATCCCTTCCTATTTCTGTCCATCTCCAGTGAACACAAAGCAGAGGAGCAAGTTATGATACCACCCCCACCCCCCCCCCCCCCCCCCGCCACACACACACACACATGTCCTCTCCCTTTTGCACGGCATTTCCATCCAGGAGGAAGAATGGACTTAGCTCAAGGGGGGTAGAGGGGCAAACAGCTTCATTATGCAATATACTAGTTTTTAAAACTTATACCCTCTACAGTGAATTCAACTGTTTATATTTTTTCTGTTGTAGGTTATCTATTTTAAGTTATGTAGCTGTTTTAAGAAATAGGCTACCAGTAAAAGACAATGTCATGAGAATGAAAAGAAAAGCCATAGACAGGGAGAATATATTATATATGCTAAAACTGATCTGAAAAAGGATTGTTACCCTATAAAATACACAAAGAACTCTTAAAACTCTACAATAAGAAAATGAACAATCTGATTTAAAAATGGGTGAGAGACCTGAATAGACACCTTACCAAAGGAGATGTATAGACGGCAAGTAAGTATATGAAAACATATTCAGCATCATATGTCATAGGGATGTAAAGACAGAAAAAAGGCCTTTCTTTTTATTTGCTGTGGCCTTCCACAATTTATGAGAAGTACCTGGTAATTAAACCCCAAGATATTAGCTCCTCTGATTCAAACAGCCCCTCTGTTCAAACTGCAGAACAAGGCAAGCTACTCTCCAGGCTACATTCTTGCATCCACCTCCTCTCTGCTGCTTTCAGAACTCAAGGATAACTCCAACCAAGAAGTCTCTAATTAGTAGAAAGTTCACTTCCCCAGTCCCCCTCAAAGAAGCCTCTTTTAAACTTTTCCTCTAAGCTTGTTCTACACGCAGAGGGAAAATGCTGTAAGATACCTCCCTGGTGCATCTACTGTACTATCTTCTGGAAAGCAAACAAACTGTAACTTTCCAAGACAGCCCTAGTATCCGCTCAACTTCAATACAACACAAACCCCTCCCTTCCTTGTCACCTAGCAATGACAGCCATTATTCTTTAAAAGTGGAAGCTGCTTTTTGTTCCCTGTCCTGTATTGATTAGCAATGCACCAGCCCTTTCCTCTCTTGGAAAGTAAAATAAACTTCCTTTCTGCATCTCTTTTTTAGCTGTGAATTCTCCCACAGCCCACATCACAAGCCAAACCCTAACATTTTGGTGGCCTGTATAGGGAGTTAACTTCTTCAGCTTCTCCTCTGTTTCCGGAAATTCCTTCTCTTCTCTCAGCTGTGAATTCTTTCACAGCCTGCATCACTGTCCAAATCCTAACGAGGGAATTGCAAAATAAAACAATAAGATAACACTATGCACCGATTAGAATGAACAAAATAAAAAACCTGACACCACCAAATGCTGACAAGGATGTGAAGCAATTCTCACTCATTGCAGGTACAAAATGTTACTTTGGATACAATTTGTCAGTTTCTTATAAAACTAAACATATTATTACCATATGATTTAGCAATTATCCTCCTTGCTATTTATCCAAATCAACTGAAAATTTATATTTACAGAGAAACTGCACACAGAGATTTACATCAGCTTTATTCATAACTGCCAAAACCTGGAAGTAATCAAGATGTATTTTAGTTTGTGAGTGGATAAATAAATTGTGGTATATCCAGACAGTAGACTAGCACTGGTTGGGCCTCACAGGATGTAAGCGCTAAAAATAAATAAGCTATCAAGCCATAAAAAAAACATGAAGGAAACTTAAGTGAAAGTAATCAGAAAAGGCTGTATGATTCCAACTACATTTGGAAAAGGCAAAAACTATAGGAACAGTAGAAAACACCAATGGTTGCTAGGATTGGGAAGAGAGGGAGGATAACTGGGCAGAGCACAGAGGACCATTAGAGCAGTGAGACTATTAAGTATTATACTCAGTGGTTAAGTACTTGTCATTATAAATATTCCAAACCCAGAAATGTGTACCACCAGGAACGACCCTACGGTAAACTAGGTGGTGAGGGCATGTAACGCAGGTTCCATTGTAACAAAGGTATCACTGGTGCTGGGATGCTGAGAGGGGGGAGGTTGTGCTTGTGTGAAGGGAGGGGGCATGAAGAAACTTTCTGCTTTATTTTGATGTGACTCTAAACTGCTCTAAAAAATAAAGTTTATTAATTTTTTTAAATCGGCTAAAAATATACACTCCTGTGATACACAGAATTAGATGGCAAAAAACTGGCAATCAAATATGTAAGTACTAGAAAAGAAAAGAGAAAATTTGAGAGGCACACCAGGTTGGAATTCCCTATCCTAAATCCACACAATATGATCTACTTTGCAATTCCTTATATTCTTTCTACTCTGCCTTTTATTATACAATTCATCAATTTCACTCCTTTCACAGCATGACCCCTTTAACATACAAAATGTAAATAATATAATGCTATGCCACTTGATTTATGACAATGAATGCCTTAAATTCAGCTGATCCCCAGGCACCTGCAGGTCGCTCCTGGAAACGGTCCTCTAAGAAGGCAGAGCTGACTGCAGGAATACACTTGCACTGACTTTCACGCATAAGCTCAGCTCAGGTCACATGGGACTGAAAACAAGCCGATACCTCACCTGACTTGTGGAGGCTGATGGATCGCAGGTTAGGAAACAACCTGGCCAGTGAGTCATCAGGCTCCTCAATAGCGTTCAGGTGGTTGTTGGCCAGGACCAGGGTATCCAGCGAAGGAAACATTGCTCCTAACTTTCGTATTTCAGTCCAGTCTTGGAGATTATTGTCTGTTATATGTAGGAGCTTCAAAGAATGACAGCAAATAGAAGGACAAGACACTGTTTCATACTCATTAAGGCACAGGAAGAGCTCCTCCAAACTGGAAAGAAAAAGAGAAATATTTCATTGTATAGAGCAGTTAAATTCCTACTTGGCACCTATTTTCATTAATTGAAGAAATAAATAAGTGCTACTATGTGTGAGCCTCTGCTAGGTGTTACAGAGAAAATACAGATATCTTCCTGAAGCTAAAATACAGCTGAGACCACAGCAGAGGAAGATATAACCCAGAACTAAATTAACTTTGTGCTTAATTAAGCAGTACTAACTGTATGTACAAAGGTATTTAATAGAAGCATGGAATTAAAATTGTGTAAGAATAATCAGGTAAGGATGCATAATCTTGAAGGAGGGGCAGACTTATACAAGTTGAGAGAAGATGGAAGAAAATTCCAGAAACAACATGAACAAATATTTAGAACATAAATAATATCTACCATTTATTGAATTTCTACCCTGTGTCAGGCCCCATGCCAGATGCTTTATAGACTGACTGTTCCTCTATTTCTGTAAGGTAGATCTAGTTATGCCCATTTTATAGACAAGGAAATAGAGCTCAGAGAGGTTAATTAGCTTATCAAAGGACATATATATATATATATATGCCTAATAAGCTAAGTGTCTGTTTAACCAGTAGCTATGATGCACACTGACCACCAGGGGGCAGACACTCAATGCACAGGCATGGGAACATGGAACAGACTGATGAATCTCAGAGGGAAGGGAGGAGTGGGGAGGAGGGAGGGCGGGAAGCGATTAACCAAAGACCTTATAAGCATACTAGAGGCCCAGCACCTGGATTCAGGCCGAAACTGGCTCTCATACTGGATTGCAAGAAGCCAGGCCCAAGGGACCCCACACTTGCATGAATTCATGCACCGGACCTCTAGTATGATTAAAAAGTGGAACATCATTCTGTGCCATGTTGGATGCTGCAGGCATGAGGAAACCAATCTCACTAGAATGATAGTGGGAAGCTAAAGTGGAATAAATGGGGTGAGAGCAAATTCTGAAAAGCTTTGATAATTTTCATATTTATATAGTAAAAAATCTACAGCTTCACATATTTTTTTAAACTACTTCCTTTGAACATTTATGCATATTTAAAGATAAAAACAAATGTAACAAAGCATCTCTAAAATTACAAGAGTATAATTTCTTGCATAAAATATTGAAAAGAATAAATACCAGGCTTATTTCCAATGAGGCCAGCTATGTACAATAATCTGAGTGTTAATATATTTTAGAGATACTGTGATTATTTTTTCCACTAAAGAAAAGGTGAGGCAAAATTCTGAAACCAGGTAATCAGAAGATTAAAATGGAGAAAGGCTGGGTTGATCTAGAAATGATAAGTGCTATTCTCAGGGCTATTTTCTAGCCAAAGATCGGCATATCCTATGTTACCCAACACTGAGCGAGCATTCCAGTGAGAACACTCCTGAGTTACGCGTAAGAAACCGCTCCCCATTGTCTCGCAGGCCTAGTATTTCTGAGCGGCAGGCCATGGGGATTCCATGCCCGGGCAGGTGCACAGCCTCCCAGCATGTGCTCCGGCTTACTCTGGCAGCTCCTGCAGGATCGTGTGCACTGTCTCCCAGGAGGCTTTGCTGTTATTGAGGACAAGTTTTCGAACCCCAGAGAAGGACCCAGCACATGTTCTTTCTAAAACTGACAAATTCAGAGGGTTGGAACTCAGGTTTAGAAACTCCAACTGGGGAACATTTGACACAATTTTACTGACCTAGGGAGAGAAAAAAAAAAAGCATATCAGGCAATAATCAGTTTCTAAATAGCAATCATGTTCAGACAGAGGATCTAAATAGCAATCATGTTCAGAGCCTAAGCGAGTGGCTCTCCAGACAAAGGATCATTCACATTGGGGAATTCTATTTAGTGACAGTACCCAGAGTGGCATAAATAATTTCAACAAATCTTAGCAAATAACAATCTCCTTCTATGAAACAGTGTCAGAACAGAAAAGTAATGGTATAAACAAAAAGCTTTCCATTGTTGCCTTTGGCAAGGTTTTTATTCTGATATTCTCTTTGATAAATGGAAAAAGGACAATTTAGACTACAAGTTATTAAAGAGCTCAGTTTGGGTCCTCTTTGTAATCCTCTTTAAATATTTCCTTTTTTTTCTTCCACCCTCATTACAACATTAAGGCTAAGTGAAATGAGCCAGACAAAGAGAGACAAGTAACACATGATCTCATTCATATGTGGAATCTAGTGAACAAAGTAAACTAATGGACGTAATAGACCCAGAGTCAGAAGCATGGAGCAGACTGATGAATCTCAGTGTGAGGGGATAGGTGGTGGAGAGAGATTAACCAAGGAATTCGTATGCATGTATGCATAACCCATGAACACAGAAAATAGTGTAGTGAAGGGCGAGGGGGCAGGGGGAAAAGAGGAGTGGAAGGGGACATCTGTAATCCTTTCAACAATAAAGATACATTTTAATAATTACTTGATTAAAGACCACAAAGTAACAATTCAGGTGTTCAAACTTGACTACAGAGCCACAATCACTAGAAAACAGGTTCAGCTTGGGTCAGAGAGATACTAAACTTTAAAATATATTCGCTAAAAATATAAAAAAGCCCAAGAACTATATAATAAGAGAGAAAACATGATCATAAATTTAATAATTTAACTAGTAAACTGGTAGACACAACAATTTTAAAAAGGACCTGAGCATTACTGACCTTAGCTACTGGCTTTGTGTAGCAATAGACTCTGCATAGCTTCTTGCACTACAAGCCCCAACAACCTGCTAGATGATTAATACTATTTCTATTTTAACAAATTAAGAAAATGAGCCTCAGAGACATTAAATAACATCTTGTGTTAAATCTGGTCTCAGAATCACAAAAACCAAATCTCAAGTTAAAAATCAGAAAGGCAAATCTAAAGTTCTTCCCAATAGACAGTCGCCCCCTATCTGCAGGGCTGCTTTCCTCAGTTACCCATAGGCAATCACGGTATGAAAGTATTAAATGAAAAATTCCAGAAATAAGTCACAAGTTTTAAATCAGGTGCCACTATGAGTAGCATGATTACATCTCATTCTGTCCAGCTCTTTGCCCCCAGGACAGAAATCACCCCTTTGTCCAGGTGCCCACCCTGCCCCGCCCACTCATTAGTCATTTGGTCACCATCCGGTTATCATATGGACTGTTGTTCAAGCAATCCTTCTTTCACTCAATAATAACGCCAAGGACAATAGCAGGGATGCTGGCGCTTTGGGTATGCCAGAGAGCAGCCATGAAATACATGCATGCACAGACAAAAACCATAGTACATACAGGGCTTGGCACTACCCGTGGTTTCCAGCATTCTTTGGGGATCTTGGAATTTCTATCACATGATAACTTGGAATTTCTATCACATGTACCACAACTAGTAAATTATAAATATAACCAGAAAAAAAATGAGAACTAGGCTTAAAGTAACATAAAGTGCTAGAAGCCTACTAAGTGTTTAAGCATCGCAGAGCCAGGCCATGTGGTAAATGAAGTTAGGAAAAAGCAGTTAGCAGAATACTAGTAGGTAGCACTGGTTTAGGGGTCAGACCAGGTCCCAATACTCTCTAGTTGTGTCTTAAAACTTTCCAAAACTCAGTTTCCTCATTCGGAACACACAGAAAATAGCAACCATACTTTTCACTGGATGGCTGGCGGAATTCAAGGAGGCACGGGTGCCAGCCCTGCTCATGGTGCGTGCACTCCTGTTAGAAGCTGGTTTCCTTGCCCAGGAAAATGTAAACTCTAGGAAAGCGGGACAGCACTTAACCTTCTTCATTCACTACTACACTGCGGCACTTAATGCTTATAGCATAAGTTAATGCACAAAATCATTCAATAAATGTAATTACTGCTAAATAAATTTAGTATGAACTAATATGTCATATCATATTTTTTTTAAAGGAAAATACTCAAAATATGATAATTTAAGGGTTTTTTAAAGCAATTTCTGGGAGAATTCCCAAAGCGAACAGATACTGACGTAACCTTTCCCAAGGCTGCAGCTACCCTACAGTCCAATGAGAATAAAGATTAGAACAATGACTTACTAGCCCTGGAATATCCCAAAAAGACGATGTTAGACTACAGTCTAATAATTAAAGCAGAAAAAATAATACCTGTTAAAAACAAATAAATATTTTATTTCCAAAGCTGAAATTAGAAAGTATTTTAGGGTAACCATAAATTAATAGTAAGATTCTGAAAAATGTAACACCTTACACAGGTAAACCTACTTATGGCAGAAAAATGTCCTAATAGCAAAGACGGGCAAGCATGCAGTAAGTTTCTAGGGCAGCCCACTGACTTCTCTTTTTCAACTTCTAAAAACCAACCAACCAACCAACCAACCAACCGAAACCGCTTCCAGCTGGAGTGAGCTGAGCAGGCTCATGTGCAGAAACATGGAGCTGAACTCGTATCTCCTTTAAGTCTCCACATTCTATTATTTAAGATGGGGCCCTCTACTCAGGCTTCTAAAAAGAAAAAAATTACAGTTTTAGGAAAAATGGGACAAGCATTATAAGACAACAATCTGTAATTTCTACCCAAGCTATTCTCTACCTCACCTGAGTAGCTAATACTTCCCTCCTCTCAACTCTTTTATAAAATGGTTTTGATAAGAAAGGGAAGAAACAGAAGATACCTTGGGAAAGGTCAGAGTAAAATCTAGTTAGATAAAAATTCAAGTCAAAAGCTAAAAAAAAATGCATCTTGTTTTAACACAAAGACGCCTGACTTTGGAAGGACAGAGACAAATCTTTGCTTCCCCCAAAATATTACCCTTCGCAGTCACACTGATCTTAGTCTGGATACATAGCAGCCAGTAGTTTAAACTACATAAGGAGTTACTCATAGCATTCAAAACACTACAAGAGCAAATGATATTACAGTATTTTGTTCCACTTTGCTATGTCAAATACTAGCTGAATAAACTTAGTTAATGGAAATAAACAAATATCTTTTTGGCAATCAGATATATGGGCTGCAATGGGGTTGAAATGTCTAAAAACTGTGACCTATGCTTTTGTAGCCTAGCAGAGTTAAATCAATCCTCAAAATCAATATTCTTTTGCTGTATGTCTCCCATCTCTCTGTGTTCTGATTTATGTTCTAGAAGACTGAGATCAATCACATTTAAGGTTAAGGACAAATATAAAGCAATGATGAAAACAAAAATAAACTGGAAAAGACACCAGAAGGGCAGCAGCAGCAATTATTTACTTGAAAACAAACTACAGAGAGCATACACAGAGGACCTACAGACTCCACTGAGGGCAGACACACACGCCACCCTGGCCGTCACATCACTGCGGCGTAGAGGTGAGAGCAGCTCAGTTTCGGTGGAGAAAAGGCAGAGTACTCACGCGAATCGTGTTCTGACCCCTGCTGACATACACTGCTCTCCTGAGGCAGCAGCATCATCACTGCCAAGCGCTTTCCGCCAGGTAGCAAAGGCACAGGTCAGAGCACGAAGCACACACCTTAGTAAAGTTTACCCTCCCAAGGAGACAGATTAGTTGAACCAGGGACACAGGAGCGGAAATGATTCCGAGGAAGGTTTGGTCCGACTTGTCGCCCACGCAGGTCAAAAATCTCCCTGCGGTCGGCAGGAGGACACTGCGGGGTCCTGAGGAGGTACCAAGGGAGTTCTCTTTGCATCTGTACAGTGTGGACAGAGCACGCGTGTCAATTAAGCCCCTCTAAGGACAAAGAAGGCACAGACTATACTCTGCTAAATAGTGAACCACACTGTTCAGATCAGTGTATCAATCAATAAAAACATGTACAAAAAGGGACTTTTTCTTGGAACACAAGAAATCTGCATATATTAACAAGTCACCTAGAAATCAAGTGACGTGCCTCTCAAAGGATTCAGGTGAGGATATCCATAGAAGCAGCAAGTATGACTGGGAGCAGTCACTGGATTGAGGCTATGAAATAAATAAGAAAACTCAACAATAGAAAGCTGTCTTAGAATTTGTAATGCGTTTAGCATCTATAAAATGCCTCAGTGATGAATTTTATCAGCAGCCCTGTCTGTAACCTGAGCAAACTGAAGCACTAAAAACGAAGGGATTTTAAGATCACAAGACAAGTTGGAGCAGTGGTCTTCATTCATCCTTAAGAGACAGTCATGTACTCATTACTGAAGTCACAGACATCAGAGTGCCCAGTGTGGGGTGCTGATGATAAAAGACAAAACCTCCACTTTGTGGAAGGTCATGGAGCAGGGAGATGCCGAGGGCACCAGTGACTGCAGAACCTTGTGAGGAATCCTTTGTGGGGGAACGGTGCCTGGGGGACGCAGGGAAGCTCCTGGGGGAGCGGCCTCGGCCGGTGTGCTGTGACACAGAAAGAGGAAGTGGATTGAGAAGGAACTGACAGCAAGGAAGCGTGTCCTGGAACAGCTTCTCCCTCTGTAAGAAGCTGAGGTTAAAGATGAAGAGGAGACTCTAGGAATAGCACAGGGCCAGCTGAGGGAGGGCCACCCCAGGCAGTGACAGACAGCTACAGGCCCTCAGCCTGGAGCCGGGCACCGCCCTCTTTCACTTACTCACATGGAAGACAGGTTAGAGCAGTGGTCAGCAAACTCATTAGTCAACAGAGAACAGTACAACGATTGAACTTTCTTTTGAAAGCTGAAATCCGACTTCTGTGCATGGGCCACAAAATTTCAATCGCACTGTACGTGAGCGCCCGCACATGGTATTTTGTGAAGAACCACACTCAAAAGGCCAAAGAGCCGCATGTAGCTCTTGAGCTGCAGTTTGCCAACCACTGGGTTAGAGGAAGCAGACCAAGCTGAGGCAGGATAACCCATTAGCAAGCTTTTCCAAGCAAGAAATAAGAGCCTAAATTAAAAACAAATAAAGTAAGAAAAACTATTTCCCCCTTATTCTAAAGGGTAGCTTCCTCTGGGTAATGCTATAATCAGAAAGGCAATGATATCCTATGTAATAAAGAGCTAATACGCTAATTAGACAAGACAGCAGAACAACTTGTGGGGCTGAGCCCCTTGCACAAATTTTGTGAATAGGGCCTCCAGTATATAAAAGAGAGAGTGCTATATTACTTTTATTTATGTAGTTGGTTTAGAGTTACTCTGGGATCAAAAGACATCTGTTATGTCAAACTCCCAAAGAGACTTAATAAAGTAAGAAAAAATTCTACCATGTTTCCCCGAAAATAAGAAATCCTCCGAAAATAAGACCTAGCGCATTGAAAGATAAGACATCCCCTGAAAATAAGACCTAGCGCAACTTTGGGAGAAAAAATTAATATAAGACACTGTCTTATTTTCAGGGAAACAGGGTAAAATACTTGGAATAAATTTCAATAACAAGAATATTACTTCCAACCCTAAACAACTTTTATGTCCGTTTTTAGTAATAAATGTTAAAGTAGTAGCAGAGAATAAGTATAGGATGTGTAAACCAGTGAAAGAGTAGAAACTTTGCCCTAACCAGTATGGCTCAGTGGATAGAGCGTCGGCCTGCGGATTCAAGGGTCCCAGGTTTGATTCTAGTCAATAGCATGTACCTTGGTTGCGGGCACATCACCAGTAGGGGGTGTGCAGGAGGCAGCTGATTGACGTTTCTCTCTCATGGATGTTTCTAACTCTCTATCCCTCTCCCTTCCTCTCTGTAAAAAAAATCAATAAAATATATTTAAAAAACGAAAGTAGAAAATTTAACGCATTGCTAGCAATCTAAACTTCCCTCAACTTATTACCTTTCGATGCCTGGAATAAAGTTCCTCAGTGTTTTTCACATTAGTAAAAACTAATAATCAAGTTAATTGAAAAATTACCGTAAGAACAGCTGAAGTAGCCAGTTATGTATCTTAGGCAGACAGGCAACAAGAACTTCAAATGAGAACAGAGTTCAGCAGAATACTTGATACCATAAGCAATGCAAGGATTATTGCTGCATTCCCCCAAAAGGCAGCGATAGGAGAGCTTTACCTCCTGCCAGTCTTCCAGTTTGTTGTCAGAAAGATCCAGCTCTGACACGTGAGCACAAAAGGCAGCGATTTCGGTCTCCTCCCCCGCACAGGTGATCCCGCAGCTGTTCAGCACCAGGACGCTCGGGAGGTTGAGGCGATCTGGATCACAGGAAACAACACTTTCTTCGTCAGCCTCGTTCTTGTCTGACACACGCAGCCCCCAGGAATCAAACCAAAAGCTACGATGGGACCCAAGAATTTTGAATTCTCAGTGGAGACGCCAAATTCGAAGCAGGCAACCGTTTGTTTCAAAACAAACCCCGAGGCGATGGAAGTCCCGGGGCTCCCGCCTGCAGCGTGGCATCCCTCACACAGGCCATCATCTCGCCACCTGAAGGCCAGGTCCACATGACTCGTGTTGACCACCAGTGTCTTCTTACTGGCCTTAGTTCTTTCCTCTTTAAAATGTAGTCTCGCCGAAACCGGTTTGGCTCAGTGGTAGAGCATTGGTCTGCGGACTGAAAGGTCCCGGGTTCGATTCCGGTCAAGGGCATGTACCTTGGTTGCGGGCACATCCCCAGTAGGGGGTGTGCAAGAGGCAACTGGTCGATGTTTCTCTCTCATCGACGTTTCTAGCTCTCTATCTCTCTCCCTTCCTCTCTGTAAAAAAATCAATAAAATATATTTTTAAAAAAATGTAGTCTCTGCTAACCTACTTCTGTTTGTCTACATGTGCTAATAAAACCACTTACTATCCTATCCTATATAATAAAAGCATAAATATGCAAATCAGCTGAGTGGCCGAACAGTGGAATGGCCATTGGGACCACGCTATGACACCCACTGGCACCGGGTGGCCAAGGCGGTGCGATGCGATTGGTAGGGGCCTGGCCATCGCCCCGTGATCTTCTGCAGAGGGAGGCCCAGGCTACCCACGTGAGGGCTGAGATGGTGGGCGAGGCCTCCCTCTGTGAGGGAAGCCCAGGTTCCGGGTTCCGGTGCCAGAGGGAAGCCCACCGGTGCTAGCAGCAGGGGGAAGGAAGGATTCCTCTTGCACGAATTTCGTGCATCAGGCTCCAGTCTCTAATAAAATGGATAAGCATGAGAATTCAACCACTCTTTCCCTATGTGTATAAAACAAGGACTCATTAAGTATTATTTAATAATGGAGGCCTCACATTGCATGATTTTTCAACTTAGTACTTATCAGTATCAAGTTTTTCAGAAAGAGAATTAAGCCTGAAAAAAATGACCTAGTAAGAAGTCCATTTCATCATTCCAGTTGATATGGAATGAGAAAATCGCTGCAATGAGAAATAATAAACGCTCATTAACCTTTGGATATAGAAACCAAAACACTGTCCAATAATAGAAACCAAAACACTGTCCAATAATAACTTTCCATAATTACATAGAACTAATTCTATGAACTGTTTGTTACAACGATGAGCTAAAACAGCATGCACACTTCTATCTTTGCTCATATCATAATCCCTCTTCTAGAATGTCTTTATCTCTTCTCTAACAAAATTCTACATTCTTGAGTGGTTAGTTCAAGTCTCACAGCTTTGAATCCTTTTCTGTTATTAATTAACTCTCTTCTAAACTTCTTCCCCAATCACTGTATCATTCACTGGGCTCAGCATAAACTACCTCATGTTAGTTTCGTAAATGTGACTAACTTGTCATTCAATTAGGCTGTTTGGCTGTTGAGGACAAAGGAGTTTTGCAGTTTCTTGCACCCTCCAAGTTCGTGAAAGAATATGTAGTAGAAATGATATCACTCTAATATCGTTCTTGCCCTATGAGTCCAACTAAAATGACTTTTGACCACTAAGGAGCAAAAACAAGTCCTTTCAGTTTTTTCAAAAAAATGAAATCACAGCAAAGGAGAAAAACTGACTCATAATTCAAAATAAAAGTATTTGCAAAAAGGCAATATTCTGGTTTAATGTCCTAAGTAAGTCCAGCAAATAAATCTTTTCGATCTCTTTCTCACCTTTCATAGGAGAGCCCTGAGGTGTAGCTGGGACGTGGATTCCCATCCCAGGACCACGGCGGTAAGGAAAGTTTTCAGGACTATATTTTTCACATAACACTTGCATAAAACTCCTTCCAGTAGGCTGATCCATCTTCCTTTCCTAAAATTCTACAAGAAACCAATAAGTCATCAGGATTATTTATTTTCTAATATAAGAAAAATTTTATTAAGAACTAATTATTTATAAGGCACTAGGCTAGGCACTGCAGACACCTAGGACACGGTCACTGCCCCTAAGAATTCATACTGTGGTGAAACCTTATGACTCATAAAATATATTTAAAATTATGACTCAGGAAGGCCACATGTAGACAAGCCAGCAGTACAGTTCAGCACATGATCATCACAATACAGACGAAAAGTGCTACATGACTTCGAGAAAGAGGCCATCATTCTCAAGCCGGGGCAACATGAAGACTTCTGGCTGGTGCATAGGGTTCATATGCTAAATAATAGGAAAAGGACTAAACAGAAAGTAAAGACTAAACATCAGACTAAAGCATTTGAATGAATCCTCTATTTTTCTCCTCTTCCTCCATAGTAAAAAAAAATGTTTAACTGTGTACATAGCTACCTGTATTTAGGAATGACAATATGATTAAGTTCTAGTTGATGAGATAGAAACAAATTATTCTATGTCCACTTCTAGAAATCATCCTTTAAAGAGCCAGAGCCTGGCCAGTTCGGCTCAGTGGATGAGAGTTGTCCTATGAACCAGGAAGTCACACATAGTTTGATACCAGGTCAGGGTTGTGTGCTCAATCCCCAGTAGGGGGCATGCAGGAGGCAGCCAATCAATGATTCTCTCTCATCATTGATGTTTTTCTCTCTCCTTTCCCTTCCTCTCTGAATTTTTTTCAAAAAGCCAGAGTATGCTTTTTGCCCAAGTTATTTTTACTTTTGTTGCCTCTGCCCAAGATATATATATAATTGTGCTGCTGAAACCGGTTCGGCTCAGTGGAGAGAGAGTCGGCCTGCGGACTGAAAGGTCTCAGTTTCGATTCCGGTCAGGGGCATGTAACTTGGTTGCGGGCACATCCCCAGTAGGGGGTGTGCAAGAGGCAGCTGATAGATGTTTCTAACTCTCTAGCCCTCTCTCTTTCTCTCTATAAAAAAATCAATAAAAAATATTTTTAAAGAGTTTACTAAATTTTCTTCTAGGAGTTTTATAGTTTCAGGTTTTACATTTAAGTCTCTGGTTTTTAATTTACTTTTGTTTATGGTGTAAGAAGTGATCTAGTCTGATTGCTTTGCATTTATCTGCCCAGTTTCCCCAACACAATTTATTGAATAGACTGACTTTTATAATACAACAATATATGTTCTTGCTTCCTTTGTTGTAGATTAATTGACCATTTAGGCATGGGATTATTTCTGGGCTCTCTATTCTGTTCCTTGACATATGTGTCTGTTCTTGTGCCAGTACAAACACTTGTCCACTTGCAGTACCAAAAACTGTATTTGTACAATTTACCAGCTGAGACTACAGACTGTCCCCTTGAGAATACAGGGCTGCCCTGTGGGGATCCTCGTTGAGCTGAAGGACGCAGCCTGTCTCAGCTCTGTCCACGTAGAGGGATCAGTGCTACAGTGTCCTCTACCACAGCCCGGAGTGTGTCACAGCAGATGCAGTCACCTAGGCCTCAGGAAACTTCCAGTTGAAAGGTTATTTTTTTCAATGTAAATTTATCCCCACAGACAAAGTGGAGCAGGGGCTATGTCATCAGCAACAGCACCTCAGCTCTTATCAAAGACTGTCTCAAGCAAATGCCAAGAAAAATTTTAGAAATGTTTAACAAAAAGAAGTTACACTATTATACTATCTTCCATGCAATTAGCAGTTCAAAAGATTAAAGGGTGTGGGGAGGGTGCTGAGCTGTCAGTGTCAGCATAATGGTCACCTGAGATGAAATAGCATCTTTTAACTGGAAGCGTCAGGACCACTTCACTTCAAATCTATGCAATTTAAGAGCAATAATCTTATACACAATTTAAATGGAGAAAACTGAGGAATGGTAATATTAAACACATATTCAAGTCAAAGCAAGTCCTCGTAAGCAAATAATCACAGTGCGTAGCACCTAGAAAGGTTTTTCTTCATGGTCCCAGGCCTAACAACTCTCCCAGACAGCCTGGGCATCTCCTTCTTTTTCCCCCTAAAGACTTAGAAGCAGTGCCAGTGCCTTCACTGACCATTTTCCAGGAGACTCTATTGAAAAAGCTTCCCAGGAATGTAGATAGTGTACACATTAATACATGAGCTTTGAATTAGAAAGTTAAGATTGCAAAATGAATCAGTAACCTAAATCTACTCAAAATCTGTTGAGGCAGTTTGAGAAGGAGCAGTAGAGGAAAAGGAAAACTGAAAACCAAGCAGACTGAAAACTGAGGAATCCAGGATGGAAAAAAAAGATCTTTTCAGTGAAGCCTTTGAAAAGGTTTCTTTGGGGTGGGAGGGTAATCTATGTCTTTCTGGGGGAGAAAACAGGTGTCAAATTACACCTGACTAGCTCTCCAGTAGGCATGGTGCTGACACATTTGTAAAAGTGTGCTAAATTGGTGCTTAGTCAGCACCCTCGAGTCCTGGGTGATGTCATTTGGTCCCATCATCAAGTTGTAGAGTGCGCCTGTGAAAATGTCAACTCCTTTGTGCCTCCAATCCTGACTACACTATGCTCTTGTAAAGGCTGGAGAATGTCCAGGACAAAGAGCATGTTGGTGGGTAACTTCCTCAGTGTACTTTTGCGAAATCCTACATAATAAAAGCCTAATATGCTAAGTGTCCAACTGTTTGTCCGACTGTTCGACCAGTTGCTATGACATGCACTGACCATCAGGAGGCAGATGCTCCAACAGGTAGGTTAGCTTGCTTCTAGATTAGTGACTGGGCAAGATGGGCTGGACACACCCTGGAGCCCTCCTGCAATCCCTCCCCAGCCTCGATTGTGCACTGGTGGGGTCCCTCTGCCTACCTGTGCCCTCTCACAATCTGAGACCTCTTTGGGGGATGTAGGACTGCCAGTTTCGGCCCAATCCCCACAGGCCAGGCCAAGGGACCCCACTGGTGCACAAATCTGGATACTGGGCCTCTAGTAGATTAATATCACAACAGAACACCCAGTCACTGAAGTACCCTCAAATGCTATCAAACAATTTGCACTTTATATCCCCAAAGGACCAGGTCAAAATTAGTATGAAACTCAAATAGAAAATAGGCCATGTCCAGCACGAAGCAAAAGCTCCACAGTGTAGTGTGTGGAGGAGGGTGCACAGAGTACCCTCAGGCCTGCAGCCACTTCCTTCACTAGACAAGTTAAATGTGTTAAGGAATGTTAGCCAAATATTTCATCCAAATTACCCAACTATCCAAACTACTGTGCTCTGGAACCATAAGGGCTCCAGAGGCAGAGGTGACAGTCATAAAAAAGCCCATGGGATCTGGGAGGTCAGGCCTGCCTGCCACCTCTTCCTGGGGACTAGCCAGGTGGAGTGGAGCTTCTGCAGCAGGAAGCCACCCCCAGGATCCAGGCTACTGGGACAGAAACAGTTCTGAAAAATAAACTGTAGTAATTCTTTTAAAATATGCATTAGTTTAGGAGAAGGCTACATCTCCAGGAAGTTTTCACAGCAAAAACATAGTGGAGACCAGGGAAACATTCTCAAGTAGTTTAAAACTACTGTCAATCACTTGACATGAAGCCACTTACACACAACTAACCCACCTCATCTACTCATCAGAGAAGAGCAGAAAAAACTACACTCCAAAAGGCACCTGCTGCCAGAAACCAATCATTAGTGAGAAACCAATCTCACTAATAGAAAGATGTAAAAGGCTGGTCAACCTTGAAGCTATGAAAGGTCAGAGCCAACCACTCCCTATCTAATCGAGACAATGGTAATTGAGGCAACTTCCCCATCTTGTAATCATGTAAATCCTTACTGATATGATAATCCAATTATTACCTGCCTAAGGACATTGGGTGTCTCCCAAAGCTGCCTAACCTGTAAATGAGCAATATCGGGTACGGGCAGGACAAATGAATACATCCTTGAAATATATGTTGCGCACTGAAACCGGTGGGACGTATATTTCCGAACAACAAAGGTATTAGTCATCCATACATGTCTCGACATGAATTTAAGACACGGAGGGAATCAGTATAATTTCGCTATTGAGAGTGGTGGACGTGTTCTGGGTGAGCAGTGACAGGTACGTACTTACACTTACCTACCTATTTTCGTATTATATATTATTTACTTATATTTTTTAATATCTCCAACCTTTATATAACAGAAAAACATATAAAATTGATCCAATCATCAATAATTTGTCAGAAAACTTTAAAAGTTTTTATGTATGTGAACAAGATATATGCATAGATGAATCTCTTTTATTATGGAAAGGGAATTTATCTTAGAAACAATATATATCTACAAAAAGAGCTAGATTTATTTTAGTTTATTTTGAGTGAAAGCCAATATGGATACGTACAAAATATAATTTTATACACAGGCAAGGACACAAATTATGGTTCAAACTACCCACAAGAAAAACAATCAACAAGAATTGTTTTGGAGTTAACACATGACTTACTGAATAAAGGATATAGGATTTACTTAAGATAATTTCTATACATCAATTAATTTGGCTGAACTCTTGTGTCAAAACAATACAGACATTGTTGGAACAATGAGGATAAACAGAGTCAGAATCCCCAGTGAAATAAAAACAAAAAAATTACAGAAAAATGAACATATGTAAGAATCAAAGACAAACTTATGGTTTTAAAATGGAAAGATAAAAAAGACGTATTGATGCTCAGTTCTATTCATAATGACGAAAAGACAATGATTGAAAAGAGAGGAAGAATGCAAGAAAAACCGAATGTTGTCCTGGATTATAACAAGAATATGGGCGGCGTAGATTTGGGAGATGGAGTTATGGTGGCCTACACGGCTGCCCGTAACAGGGTAAAAAAAATTTATAAAAAAATTTTTCTACGATTAATTGATATGTGCTGCTTCAGTGCATAAATTTTATACAAAAAAAGATAAAGGTCATTTGGATCGATAACACTTTTTGATAGAGTG